CGCCTCAATGTATTACAGGCCACCAAGACTGGACCCAACAGGTCCGGACGCAGTCTGGCCCGATCACTAAGCAGCGGGAGGCTTAGAAGCTGCTTAACATGTTCGTCCGCAATTCGCCGGACATTGGCGTATCTTCTGGCTAGGAGGTCCCGAGCAGTCTGGCAGGCGTCGTCCGACAATCTCAAGTGGCCGACGACGCCCAGGGCCTCCCCCTCCAGTGAGGCTAGGAGGTACGCCATCTTTTGGCTCGGGGTCAGGTCTCTCCGGGCGTCCACTAGGCTGTCGAAAAGTCCAACTAAGGTCAGCCATTCGGAAAGAACCCCGGAGAACTTTGGCAGGTCCAGAGTTGGGAGTCGTCCCAACAGCTCCGGCTGAAGCTGCTTCAGAGAGGACTCGGACAGGTCACTCATCCGAGCTTCACACGCCTCCTCGGCATACCTGCCTTCAGCCTCGATCAACTCGTCCGTGAGCCACAAGAACTGCTCATAGTCCGCGAAGCAAGAGTCCAGGACTCCCTTCTCCACATCCGAATCCTCGAGCTCAGCGTAAGCCTCCTCCACTGCGGCCCTTCGAGCATCCACCTGCTCGAACTGCTTTATCAAGTTATGGACCCTATCCGGTCGACCTATCAAAGCATGGGCGCTTGTGGCCCTGCGTAGCTCAGTCCGCAAACAACGGATCAGTAGCTTGGGCGATGTCATCACTATTAAATGCAAATTACGACGCGGCTTGAGCACGGATTACAAAGATAACAAACAAAAAATACAACAAAAATTAACAGTTAATAAATGCAGTTCCTATCAAATCGCGTTGAATAGAAATTACACAAATACGAATTACTACGTATCAACCAAATACAAGTTAGCACAAAAGAAAAGACACAAATCAAATTAACAAATAACAAATACTAGTGCGATCAAATCAAGTTAAATTCAAATTGCGCAAATACAATTACTACTCTTTAGTTCAAATACAACTTACAGTATAAACGAAGATACACATCACGGTCGATCAACAAAAAATGCCTAGCTCGGAAATTGACCCTTCGATAAGTAATCCACTACAACTATCCGACAACGATAATTAACCGATTACGTAAAAATAACCATCTACCTACATGACGTATATCTCTAGAAAAACTCCCGCTTGCGCAACCTAGGGCGCGGCTTTTCAAACAACCCACTAACCAAAAAAAAGGCAAGCAACAAACAACAAAGGGAAATAATTTTATTATTACGTACAAAAAAAATATTTTTACGTATTACGAACGGGCGTGATTTTAGATACAAATTAAACCAATCAAACCAACGCTCCCTGCTACCAGAATTGTTTAATTTTTATCAAACACTATGGTCGGGATCGACTGGGGAATAGAACCCGGAACCACGCTCTGCTACCAGATTGTACACGCCCCTAGCTGCCCCAACCAAGGCTGACGGGATTAGGGCCCATGAGTAATCCCATCGACGAACAGCAGAGGGACGGGGCCAGAAGATGGCCACGTGGAATCTCTCTAATTACACTAAAATATATGGTGGAGCGTTCTATAATACGCCCAGTCGACCGGGAGGAATTTGGACGTAGCTTACTTACCTATATCTAAGGCGACTGATCCCTCCGGAGTCGGTCAGGTCGCATGTGGTTGTGTAGTGCAAGGAAAATAAAGTGATGTGATGTGTATCTGGGTGTCACTGATGGTGATTGAACCTAGACCTTGACCGTCGGCAGCAGCCCGAGCGTCGACACCGCTCCAACTTGAGGGGGCCTTCCGAGGTTGTCCACAGTCACTTTCCTCTTTCGTCACGATGACAGTCAATTAACTCTATCGTACGATTAACTAAATTACAGAATCCACTAACTATCGCTGGGTATAAGGTTAACGCACAAAACGCACACGGAGTTTCTGGATCAAAGGTCACTACCGTTTCGCGTAGCAACAGTTAGTTCTAGAATATCAGAGGCCGCACTAGCTAATATTACCGAATGCACTTATGCAGATTCTGAGTCAGACACAATGAGTCCCTGGGAAGCTCTCCAGCAGGAATGCGCGTCACAATGGTAGACCGTATATTTACTGGCCGCGCCGAATTATTCCGAGTTCCCGACAAAATGACAGCGTGCCGTTCCAAGCACAGCTGACAGACGACTGCCTGCCCTTGTGCGTTTTTCGCACGACCGAAAGTTAAACCGGTATGAATGCACCGCGCCGAGCGCCCTCTCGCGTCAATTCTTGAAACTAGCGCTTGGCGCGGACATACGTTATTTTTAATGTATATATAGGTTACTGGTTCAAATCCGACAATTCAAAAACTTTAAATAAGAAGTGAAGATATTTGTTGTACTTCGAATTTCTTTTCGTATTATGGCTGCAGCGCTATGTATAATGAGATCAGCTGTTTGATGTGATAACTATTTTTTCTATTTACGAGGTTTTGATTCCTAATCTTGAATAGAAGTTGGGTGTCCCGGAGTCACATCATTCATTTACCATCTGGTGAGCTATGTACTTGTGGCGACGCACACATTTATTTATTTTATTTAAAGATATGATTATTATTTCACAGATAAATATGTATATAATTTAATATTAATATTATAATGCTTATTGTATTTAAATTTATCTATAATACAATTACAGTCACACACACACATATATATTATACTATTTCTATTTATTATAGTAAATTTTATTTTAGTATTGTATTATAGTGTAATTCTCGGTGCCGACCGGTCGAAGTACATTGGAAACAAACATTCGTTTTAATTATTATCAACACCGTGTACCTGAGTACTTTGCCTACGTCGCGATATGTTCAACGACCAGCCAGTCGCAATCTAATCGTCTGACGGCGGCTCTTCACGTTGGCCAACACACTGGCGAATGTGTTGGCCCACAACGATGGCCATCGTGTAGAGCGGGTGTTTAAGCTACGTTAGTATTTATTGGAACGATGGCCCACAAGTTGGCGCGAGATCCGTGTGGTGTCGGTTTTTTGCAAAAGATCAAAGGGTTGTGGCAGAGTATTGGCCGTCGCGTCCACACGTTGGGCGCACGTTCAGTTTGCTACGAGCTCCCAGAGTGATTGCACGCACCTGATTTAAATTTTATATGCACGCATCGTAACAAGTGTCTACATAACGGCAGTAACAATGACCAATGAAAATACTTTTTGCTTTATAGAGCCCTACCAAGCCGAAAATTGTTTCTAAAACACAAGTCTTTTTAAAAAAATGTTATTATACTCTAGGATTTTCTCCCGTATCGTGGAGGCAGTTTAGAAACATAAATTGCATAAGGACAAACATCCAGACCCGGAAAAATTATGTGCAGGCTATACAAATACTTGTTCCGTGCGGGATTCGAACCCGCGGCCCCCAGGGCAGCAACTCATTGCTAAGCCACTCCGCCACGGAGCCGTCAAGAAATAAAATTTCTTTTTTCCATTTCTTTTTGATCACCCTTATCTTATACACATTCACGTTGTAGTGATTAATTGTGTATTAATTTATTTATTGATGTATTAATTGATTTATTAAATATCTTAAAATCTCTAATACTGGGTGTCTCAGTAAGAGTGCACTTTTTCATTTTAAAATAAAAACAAGTAGAGGAAAAGGACCGAATATGGAATACTTAAACAATTTCTTAAAAAAATCATTACAAAAGTTTTATTTTAATCAGTCTCATTGATTACAATTATATGTAGTCATTATCGCTCTCTTAAAATAATATTTAAATTAGTAAATCATAAACACTTTCCGTAATATTATTAACTAAAATAAATCAACAAAAAATATGCTTCTCAAAAATGTGACCCTATTATGGAATAGGGTATTCCATAATAGGGTCAAGTCTCGTTAATCAAAAGAAAATAATAAAATTAACCCTGCAAGCAAATACCCTTGGGTGTCTTCGATTGAACAATGCTAAGCCCAGTCTCGTCGGCGTTGTAGATCCTAGTTGGTGGAAATTTAAAAAGCTCAAATTTCTTTTCCAGTTAATCGAAGAAGAATTTAACATTTTCTTTCGTGAAGCCTTTAACCCGAGCAAATGATGTACCAGTAGGTTGGACCGGAGAAAGTTCTTTATGCCTCGAAAAAAAAACTTTTAACCATTTACGTCCAGCTGTTCTATTATTAAAAGGATGTTTTAAATAATTTTTTACCGCCAACTAATATGCCAATATCTTCACATCATTTCGCCTAAGCCCAAAATACCGCTTTATTTTTCATTTGCTTGACATACTGTACTTGTACTAACATAATATGTTCAATGTCAGGTCCCAAAACTGTTTTACGACCAAGGCAGTAGTCTATATTTGGTTCATATCATGACAGAACCGAAAGAGGGTAGTCCGAGGTACATTAAAAACCTGTGCAGCTTTCTTATAACCCATTTATTTGGTTTTCACGGCTTTAATAGCATTTTTCATACTGGTGGGGTCAGTTTGATCACAATTATATCTGTAAAAGACAGAAATAGTAATCAGACACTATATTAAAAACTTACTTTCGTTGAGGTTCTAATATAGAATACTATTCCATATTAGGACCTCAACGGTATTCCATATTACGAACAATATGATGGCGAGAGTAAAATAAATGTAACTTTTTAATATTTTTAAAAATTCGTAAAATAACAATATCATTAAAAAACTACATACTTTGTTCAGATACATATCAACTTATTTTGAGATATTCATGTACGAACAATAAGAAATATATACGTAAAACTTACCTAAATATCCGATTGATGTTGCGCCAACAGTGTCCCGCACTCTCATTTGCGTGTACTGCTGCCGAACGCCGCACGCACCCTGGCCGTTGAACGTGGGTAGCGGGAGGAGTAACATGGCACAAGTTTGGAATATTTGTGGTGCTTAGTTTTAGAAATATTACGGTATTCCATATTAGGGACGTATTCCATAATTGGTACCTTTCCTCTATTTTATGACAGAGTTGTGATATTTTTATTGTATTGTAAAGAAGACATGTTTCGATTAAGTATGGAATAAAATATCCAGCAAATGACCCCCACGGCTCCGATGACAGGCCATTACTCTTTTCATGAAATTTTCCATGACTTTTGCACAGATATGTGGCTGTATCTCACCGATGACGCGTTGGATTTCCGATTTGAGCTCAGGAATTGTTTCGGGTTTATTCGCATAAACCCGAGATTTCACAAAACCCCAAAGAAAAAAATCGCACGGCGTTAAATCACACGATCTTGGTGGCCAGTTGACATCAGAGTTTCGTGAGATAATGTGTTCTGGAAATCGTTGCTGTAATAAGTCGATTGTTTCATGCGCGGTGTGGCAGGTTGCGCCGTCCTGCTGAAACCACATGTTGTCCAGATCCATGCCGTCTAGTTGAGGCCACAAGAAGTCCGTTATCATATTCCTGTAACGAATGCCGTTCACAGTCACTGCAATTTCAGCCTCATTTTCAAAAAAGTAAGGTCCAATCACACCGCCTGACCAAAATCCGCGCCAGACAGTTACTCGTTGTGGGTGCATTTGTTTCTCATGGATTGCATGAGGATTTTCTGAGTCCCAAATTCGACAATTTTGTGTATTCACGAAGCCATCCAAATGAAAATGCGCTTCATCGAAGAAAATAACTGTTTCCGAAAAATTGGTATCGACTTCACTTTGCTCCATTACCCATTGAACGAATTGCCAGCGCTTTCCGTGGTCTGCTGGTTTGAGCTCCTGAGTTAACTGAATCTTGTACGCATGAAGGTGGAGGTCTTTAGTCAAAATTCGCTGCGTAGTGCTTCGTGAAATTTGAAGTTGTTGAGAACGATGTCGAATTGATGTTTTCGGGTTTTCGGCAACACTCTCGTTTACAGCAGCAATGTTTTCAAGAGACCGACCGGTACGTTGACGCAAAGGATTCTTATTATCCATAATTGAACCAGTTTCTTCAAATTTTTTAACCACTCTTTGAATGGTTGACACATTGGGTGCACTTTCTCGGCTGAAAATTTGGCGAAGTTTGCGAGCGGTTTCAGCGTAACTTTCCCCATTTTTGTAATGAGTTTTCACAATTATAACGCGTTGGTCTTTCAAAAACCTCTCCATTTTTAATAATGGGAATAAACAGAGATGACAGCTGTCAAATTTCAGAGTTGCCACTTGCATGAAAAAAAAAAATTCCAATTTTAAAAAGTGCACTCTTACTGAGACACCCGATATATATTAAAATCAAATTAAAAAGTAGGATACCAAAATCATGTTTTTACTGTCTTTATTATTCCCTATTAGTTACTTTATTTCGTTAATAATACTGAAATTTTTAGCTATGGAAGAGCGAAGTCACCTGTTACAGGCATTAATTTGCTTACTAGGTGACCTCGATCACTGATCATATAATGTAACTTTAATGTTTGACGAAATAAATTATTTATTATTATTATGGGGGTTATCTATAAAGTTTTCTCATCTGGTTGGGCTGCTTAAATATATAATTGTAAACGAAATATATAAACATACATAAATATCAATAAAATAGAATAAATACATAAAAAATACATAAATATATAAAAAAACCAACCAGATGGAAGCCCTCGGCAGGGGAGACCAAACGGCCGAGGGTTAGGGGGAAAGGGAAAGAAACCGGCGGACAATGCGGGCGGTATCGAGGAGCACCGCCTTCTACATTTGAGCTTGAGCGGTCCGTCACAGAGTCCCAGTCGCCTCAGATGACCCGAGAGGCTAACTGGGATTAACCCGTTCGCAGAAACGACCACAGGAATAATTTCGGCCGGCAGACCACTCCACATGTCGGTCACCTCGTGAGCCAGGTCCAGATATTCTGTCAGCTTATCTGTTTCGGCTTTCACGAGGTTCTCGTCATAAGGAATGGTAATGTCGACCAAAAATATCCTTGACTGCGCCTGGTCCGTCAGCACAATATCAGGCTTATTCGCAAGAATAATCCTGTCTGTGATGATGGCCCGGTCCCAGTAGAGCCTGGCGCGGTGATTTTCGAGCACGGCTTCCGGCAAGTACTTATAATATGGCAGTTTCCGATCCACGAGACCGTATTTCAGAGCGAGCTCCTGGTGTAGAATCCTGGCTACTAGGTTGTGTCTGTGCAAATACTCAGAGTTAGAAAGCGCCGAACAACCGGAGATGACATGCCTAAGTGACTCACCGGGATGGCGACAAACTCGACAGTTGTCGACGGTGCCATCCTTTAGGATGTATCTCCGATAATTGTTGGTCTTAATAACCTGATCCTTTATTGCACAGACAAAACCCTTAGTTTTCCCAAAGAGGTCACTGAAATGTAGCCATTGGAGGGAGGCGACTGTGTCTACGAAAGGCTCATGAAGGGCCTTGTAGAACCTCCCGTGGAGCTCCTTCTCCTTCCATACGGTCTCCCGGTCGGAAATGCTCTGTACTGCCGGGTCTTGCCATTGCCCGTTGGCTAAAGATAGAGGGGTTATTATTATTATTATTAAGTTTTGTTCTATAATTATATAATAAGAATAACCCTTTTTAAAAAGGTTTTGTTTAATAAAATTTGACAACAGTTTCATAGACAGGCTTCGAATATTTTCCAGGCCTTAGTTGTAAGTGTTAATTATACCTATGCCTAGGTGTGTTAATGTTTATATAGTTCACTTATCTGTATAACGTTAGTGTATAATAAAGAAATATTAAGAATTTATATTAAATGTGAATGAATAAACCGCAGCAGCCGTTAGCGCATCAATAATCATTTTAATAAATTCGACCGCACATTGGCCTGTACCGAAGCAAACTGAACGACCTACCAACGTGTGGACGCGATCACAATTTCTTGGCCAATAACTCTGCCAACACATTCGCCACTGTGTTGGCCAACGTGAAGAGGCGCCATGACGCGAATACTGTGCCGCTTGCGCCTACGCCGAACTTTGCCCTTATGGCGCCTCTTCACGTTGGCCAACACAGTGGCGAATGTGTTGGCAGAGTTATTGGCCAAGAAATTGTTATCGCGTCCACACGTTGGAAGGTCGTTCAGTTTGCTTCGGTTCAGGCCAATGTGCGGACGAATTTATTAAAATGATTATTGATGCGCTAACGGCTGCTGCGCTTTATTTATTCGCAGCATACCACTATTTTTTTATTTAATTTTCACTATTTTTAATATTTAATATTTTTAATATAAATTTTTAATATTTCTTTATTATACACTAACGTTATAGAGATAGGTAAACTATATAAACATTAACACACCTAGGCATAGGTATAATTAACACTTTTACAACTAAGGCCTGGAAAATATTCGAAGCCTGTCTATGAAACTGTTGTCAAATTTTATTAAACAAAACCTTTTTAAAAAGGGTTATTCTTATTATATAATTATAGAATAAAACTTAATAATAATAATAATAATAATAATAAATAATTTATTTCGTCAAACATTAAAGTTACATTATATGATCAGTGATCGAGGTCACCTAGTAAGCAAATTAATGCCTGTAACAGGTGACTTCGCTCTTCCATAGCTAAAAATTTCAGTATTATTAACGAAATAAAGTAACTAATAGGGAATAATAAAGACAGTAAAAACATGATTTTAGTATCCTACTTTTTAATTTGATTTTAATATATATTATATATTATAGGTTTTAAGATATTTAATAAATCAATTAATATATCAATAAATAAATTAATACACAATTAATCACTACAACGTGAATGTGTATAAGATAAGGCTGATCAAAAAGAAATGGAAAAACGAAATTTTATTTCTTGACGGCTCCGTGGCGTAGTGGCTTAGCAATGAGTTGCTGCCCTGGGGGCCGCGGGTTCGAATCCCGCACGGAACAAGTATTTGTATAGCCTGCACATAATTTCTCCGTGTCTGGATGTTTGTCCTTATGAAATTTATGTTTCTAAACTGCCTCCACGATACAGGAGAAAATCCTAGTGTATAATAACATTTTTTTTTTAAAAAAACTTGTGTTTTACAAACAATTTTCGGCTTGGTAGGGCTCTATAAAGCGAAAAGTTTTTTCATTGGTCATTGTTACTGCCGTTATGTAGACACTAGTTACGATGCGTGCATATAAAATTTAAATCAGGTGCGTGCAATCACTCTGGGAGCTCGTAGCAAACTGAACGAGCGCCCAACGTGTGGACGCGACGGCCAATACTCTGCCACAACCCTTTGATCTTTTGCAAAAAACCGACACCACACGGATCTCGCGCCAACTTGTGGGTTATCGTTCCAATAAATACCAACGTAGCTTAAACACCCGCTCTACACGATGGCCATCGTTGTGGGCCAACACATTCGCCAGTGTGTTGGCCAACGTGAAGAGCCGCCGTTACGCATAACTAATATTATTTGAGTGTTCTTTCCTATTTTATGCAAGTAACTGTAAACTGTGCTTCCTGCTATCATCTCTTATCTATTTGTAATCTTATCTATCGCCTTCTGCTTCTTCATGTGAGACTGTTTCTATGTGTTGTGCCGTGAAATATATAACTGTCTAACCGAGATTTATTTGTTTATTCCGGCGACGGACTTACCATCAGGTACCTTATTTGCATAACCTTATCCTCCATAACTGGTGACCCCGAGCAGAACATTTAAGAAAGATGAGCAGTGACGGTAGTGATACAACGCATTCGCAAAGAAGGGCGCGGTCAACGATAAAACGTGAGCGCGTGTCCATTGACTCTCACGATAATAATAATAATAAATATTATAATATTAATATTAAATTATATACATATTTATCTGTGAAATAATAATCATATCTTTAAATAAAATAAATAAATGTGTGCGTCGCCACATCCTCATTCGTCAGCTTTACTTCGAAAATAAATCTTTTCAAACTTGAAAGAGCCTACTGTGTCATTTTCTGCCTAGTAATCTATCTGGATGGTATATAGTGGATGGTATTCTCTTACTTACTTATGCAAATAAGGAGCAGTTCACTACTTATCTACCGACTTCAAAAAGGAGACGGTACTCAATTCGACTATGTTTTTATCTTTTTTTATGTGTGTTACCTCATAACTTTTTTCTGGGTGAACCGATTACGATGATTCCTTTTACATTTGATAGCTTGTGCTTCACATGTGGTCCCATATAAATTTGATCAAGGTTTGACAAATAGATTTTAAGTTATTCTTAATAATTTAAATTGAAGTCGGTTGTACAAAATTTTTAATTTTAAATTATCGTGTATCATTATTTCGTGTATATTTCAAAGGTAATACTCTGAGACATTCCATCTAAGCTTTTAAGTATGACAAAGCACCTATGGCGTCCTGGTAACAATTTAACGTTGGTTGCGGGTGCTCACGGTCTTCAGAGGTTACATGATTTCAAACTTATTCAGCACTATTTAAAAAGCAAAAATATAGTATAATATTTTGATCTGAACATAGGGCTCCATTTGCCACAAAACACGGTATAAGTCACATGCATTCACTAACTCCCCTTATATTTTACCAAGTCTCACCTAATTTATTAGGGGGCCACCAGTACGAGGTACGAAGACAACTTAGCAGGTTCAATTCCGCTTAACAGTAGTAAGCGAAACTGAACCTGCTCACAATTACACTGCTGGTATCAATATAAAATTAAAAAATACAGAGTAATTTGTATCAATAATCAATGACCCCTGAAACTGGAATAAAGGCCACGATCAATAACATCCCCTTCGATAGAGTTCTGGAAGTGCTATTATTAGAAATAGCTAGGGTTAATAGGTTGACTAGGTCGATATTTTAGCGCATGGGCAACACAGCGACAGGTGAAGAGGTGGTGTTGTACACAAGCGCACGGCGGTGAGAGACGGTCACTCCTGAAATTTTCCAATTTTCGATAGGTGAACTGCACGCGTTACACTAGTTACTTATATATATTTTTTAATTGAATTAGTATCGTCCAACTACCGATCCGGTTAGATATTTATACATTATTAATTAGTGAGATTAACCGTGTAGAGGCGGTGTAAGAATCGTTCCGTGGGTGTCATACATGGAGACAAAGTGAATCTATCCAGTAGCTTAGCAGCAGCGTCATTCTGGTAATAGTTAGAAAATAATAAACTGCTGTCGCTAATCCGGTG